GCAAAAATGTCAACAATTCTGTGTTTTTCTGTCAATATGGGGTGCTGTGTGTACATTAATGAGGAAATAAAATGAACTTAAATGATTTTAGCAAATGGCTGCAATATAACAAAGAGTGAAAAATTTAAGGGGGTCTGAATACTTTCCGTACCCACTGCATATAAATAGATACAGGGTGACACTGTCAGAATTCACTGAAGGCTAAATGTCACACATAGACACGATGTAAATAAGATATTGTTTGCAGTTCACGGAATCGTGAGATTGCGATAAATTGAAGTGTGACAGCTTTTTAGTGATTATAAGCGCTATTTGCTCGCTTTCTAGGCAGGCTATAATCGATTCAGAATTTAAATAAAAGTTGTTTTAGGTGCTGCTAACAGGACCAACAGCCACATACCCTGTACATGCAGCAAAGTTTCAGGAGTGACATATATCCCGCATCCCTCATATAAATACGGGATTCACTTTCGAAATAGCTTGTTTACAATCAGGGTTAGTTGCTTAGCCTATATCCATCGCCTTAATGGCAGGCAAGTATTTCAATTTAGTTTAAAAATCGCTCCTCTTTATAACATAAGGATCACGTCCAACATGTTGATTATCATCAATACCTTTCTATTGTAATAGCGTGGTGGTTGAAGAGAGATCCCCTCATACGATTGTAAGGCGCGTTGGGTGTGCAGCAATTCAATGAAAGCGCTATATATATATATATATATATATATATATATGATATATAAATGCATCATGCCTAAAACAGTAGCCTACATTACCGACTTTACTGTATCTCATCCGTTCTTTTTCAGTCACTCCTGAAACTTTGCTGCATGTACAGGGTATGTGGCTGTTGGTCCTGTTAGCAGCACGTAAAACAAAACTTTTATTCAAATTACGCGCTACTCTTCCGCCCCCATATGTAGGAAACAGGAACTGCACCCATAGAAAACGATATGACTGCGCACAATAATAGGTCGATCTGATATTGCTGTCAGATCTACTTTCTCAAGATTCCATATTTGTGCCATCTCTGAAAATAGCCCAACAGTAATTAATGTGTTATCAAATCGCCCTTCAAACGCTAGATGTCACATGAAGACCATTTGCCCCAATGACGTAAGCAGAATTCGCTTTGTTTTGGCACGTGACCGGAAGCGTCGCCGGTTCCAGGAAGCGTTTCATGAATTCAGTTTGACATGTTGGAAGTTGAGAGATGAGAGCAGAGGACCCACGACAAACTGTGCCTACAGGTCAGGGCGTATTTCACAAGAGACTCGGACCAATGCAAAACTAGACTACGGACTGTGACCGGTCACTCTGTCCAGTTGTTTGTCATGTTTTAAAGTTGGCAGGCAGTTGTCGCGCAATGCTAAAGGACGAGCGCACATGCTAGCGCGGCCCCAGTGTCACTGCCTTTGAGTCACAGAGAGCTGTGCTGTTTTGTTCGTCACAAACAGTAGTTTGTTTTCGTTTGTGGTTGTCAGCTGCGGTGTGTTTATGTAAGGGTCTTTAAAAAGAAAGGAGATATTTTACTTTCTTTTTAGCCAGCAAGGACAGCTTCTCTTCAAAGAGCAGGACTTTGCTTGGCTTGGACAGTGGAGATTTTAACTTTATTTGGACTGAAATTATCATAGACTGCGGTTGACCGAGGAGCAGACGGTCTCATAACAATGGTAAGTTTTCTACATAGTTAGTTCACTTTAAAATGAATGTTCTGTCATTAAATTGACTCACTATCATGAGTTGCAAAACGAAAGCCTCACTTTCATTGAATGGGAAAAGATGCAGTTAAAGTGACTGAGGCTATCAACTCCTACGTTTCTGCTGTACAAACTGTAGAAATTGTCTGGCAGATATTCAGAAAAATCACGTATATTGGTCTTAGTCTGTTTGTTTTAGTGTAGCAAATAATTGTTTAGGATAGTGGTTCTCAACCAGGGAGCCAGTGTCCACTAGGGGGCCTCACGGAACGTCCTGGCCTCAAGATGATTTCAAATTAGACAAAGTATTAAACTCCTGATATTATACGTTTAGGAGTCAGAGTTGTGATTCTCTGTGTTCAAAACACTCCGAAGACAATTAGTGTGAATTTTTTCATAATTAACTAAATATATTTTGTTTTTATAATATTTATTCTTTGTAATTTTGTGTTTTGATGGGATTTCATGATACTACACTATTCATGATATATGTCTATATAAAATAATGTAAATATAAGAATATAAAAATTATATTATTTTCAATTTATACAATGTTTAAGTTAAAAAATATAGCAGGTATTTAAAATCCAATCCATGGAAGGCAGATTGTTACCATCCGGTGGGAGAAATAAAGAAAATCATATGTAATACCATGGTGTGATTACTTTTATTAGATTTTGCATTTGGCTATATATTTAGACATGAAATGCTACTTCATTATGGCTGATCTGTAGATTGTAGCCCCAAAATAATTTTCTGTATTTTTTGTTTTTTTCCATTCATGGTGGTCATTTTTGACAAGGAAGATCACAAATGTGACACTTTTTTTTGTAAAGACCAATTAACTTTTTATAATCATGTCCATGTTTTTTTCAGACTTTTTTTCTTAAAAGTTTTGTACCTTTCCAATAAAGTAAAAAAAACAAAACAAAAAAAAACAGCTAAACAATTGGATTTCTTTTCTTTCTTTTTTCTTTTTTTTTCACTCCCTCAACAACTCAACAATTTTAGGTGTGATTTCTAGACCTGGCAAAGTCATGTAAAGTAATAAAATCTTAGAACCCCTTGGGCATTGCCATTTTTGTAATGAATTTTCATTTTTCCATTCCAAGCTCTAAAATATTTTATTGGGTAAGAAGTCCTTAATCTTTATCTAATAAGTCACGAACAACTAGATAAATCGAGGGGCCTTCAAATATTGTTGATGGCAATAGGGCCCTTCAAGTCAAAGCACTGCTACAAACTTTGTGTTTTGTTTGTGTTTCTTTGACTCCTCAGACTTCAGATGACTGGAGTGAACGCTAACTGTGAAGTTCATCGCCTGCTAGGATTTACTTTAACTGACTAATCCCAGTGCACTCTTCCCTTCCTATAATGTTGGAGGGACTTGTTGCCTGGGTGCTCAACACATATCTGGGCAAATATGTGAGCAACCTTAACACTGACCAGCTCTCTATTGCTCTTCTCAAAGGTATTTGAATGCATTTGTTTTAGTCTGTGTGTGCTAATTGGAGCTTACTGTCTGTGTTGTGTATCATTTTGTGAAGTATGCATTTTGTTTTGATCCAGGGGCAGTGGAGTTGGAGAACCTCCCACTAAGAAAAGATGCTCTCCGAGGATTTGATCTGCCCTTTGAGGTCAAAGCAGGTTAGTGGTAGTCCAGCCTTTGGGCTGTAGCCAGTTAGAGATTCAGTAAGTAATTTGTTTGTTTTGCTGGATGATGTGACAGTCACCTTGGACTTTATACTACACATGTCAGCGTGCCCTTATGGAAATACACTGATGATTAATTTATTAAGCAACAAAAGTGTCTGTTTATAGAGGGGCTTTTCAAGATAAAGTGAGCAGTTATTCGGCTGATCATGACTTAAGTTATCCCAGCATGGTGGCCACTGTGAGATGGACAAACCTTATTTTGAGTAAATTGGCTTTTCCTTGGCCAGTGATGAGTGGAGTATTGATGTTGTGTTTCTATTCCATTTTAAGCATAGTTGTCAGAAGTAATATTTATGTTTTAGGCATTAATCTAAGTGTATCTTTAAACCTAAATGAATGTATTTTATTTTGATTTATTATCGGATGCTTATTGGGTGTCTTTGCACAAACATCATTTGAAATGTTGTATATGCTAACTAAGGGTTAGGTGTTTGCATCTTGTGATCTTAATTGTGGGTATTAAGGAAACTCTTGCACAGCAGAAGTATGTCAGAACAGGATTATCTGGATCTTCTTCTGCTGTGACATGATGATATTTGAGAACATGTGTTTTTTATTCTTAGATTTAGGAATTGTTATTAATTTCTCAATGGTATTAATAGACATAAATGCAAAGATGCAATAAAATGATAAAAAATGACAGACAATATATTAATAATGTTACAAAAGATTTCTCTGTCAAATAAATGGCCTTTTGAACTTTTTATTCATTAAACAATCCAAAAAAAACGTTATCACAGTTTACACAAAATATTAAGCACAACTTTTATCAACATTGATATAAGGGTCACACTTTATTTTAAGGTCCATTTCTTTCCATTAACAAACCATTAACTATGACTTTTGCCTCAATAAACTCCTAATTTGCTGCTTATTAATAGTTAGTAAGGTAGTTGTTAAGTTTAGGTATTATGTAAGATTAGGGATGTTGAATATGGTCATGCAGAATATGCGCTTTATAAGAACCAATAAATAGCCAATATATTAATAATAGGCATGCTAATAAGCAACTAGTTAATAGTGAGAATTGGTCCCTATACTAAAGATTTTACCATAATTAATGTTTCTGGAGCAGCAAATCAGCATGATTTCCTAAGGATTATGTGACACTGAAGACTGGAGTAATGGCTGCTGAAAATTCTGCAAAATATATATTCAAATAGATAATTGGGTTATTTTAAAAGGTAAAAATCTTTAACAATAATACTGTATTTACTGTAGTTTAATCAAATAAATGAGCATAAGATGTCTTCCAAAAATTAAAAAACCTTTGAACACTGGTGTGTATGCAAAATTCTGTGTATTTCATAAATATTATGTGTAATTTTTTTCAGGTGTCATTGGGAAGATCACCCTCCAGATCCCTTTTTATCGACCGCACAGTGACCCATGGGTCATCTGCATGTCCCAGCTGAACCTGATTATCGGCCCTGCCCCCCCACAGGAATATGATGAGGTGCGAGAAAGAGAAGCTGAGAGGGAGCAGAAGAAACAGCTGCTTAAGGCACTAGAGGACAAGTGGAAGGTACAGGTTGTTACAAAATGTCGTTGAATTGCTGTAGTCAAATGCTGACGTTTTTCATATTTTACTTGTGTACTAGTGTACATATTCATTGACTGTAAGTGATTTATTTGTCTGTTCCATTCTATTTGATTTGTCTTCTAATGCTGATTATTTATTTATTTTAGCCATTATGCTTTAAAAATAAACATTTTTGCTATTGAAATGATCAAAACGAGACCAAGCACTCACAGTTCTAAAGATATATCTTTTTAATGAAACTTTCAAATGTATTTAAATTGTATTTATTTTATTTATATGAATAATTCACTGTTGTTTTTAATGCTTGCTTTTTGTGCTGTGATCTATGAATCACTTTGAACTTTTTATATATGAAATGCACAATTCAATTATGTGTGTTTTTAATAATTGTTTTTTATTTTATCAGAGTGAATGTGAGCAGAAAGGAGAATCTTACTGGTACTCTGTCACAGCGTCTGTTGTGACTAGAATAGTTGAGAATATAGAGGTAATTTTCAGTCATAGTTACTTCTTTCCTTACACTCTGCTGTTGTTATAGTTTAATTTCAGAAATAAATATTTATTTTGCTATTCTGTATGTTATTAGTTGAAAATTCAAGGTGTCCACTTAAGATTTGAAGATGATTTCTCCAACCCTGAGAAACCCTATGCCTTTGGTGTTTGTATCAAGAATGTATCTGCACAGAACTGCTCCAAAGAACCAGTGAGTTATCCATATTATTTGGTATCTTCATGAAGTGGCTCTGTCTTTACATGTTGGAACATGAAAGGTAAACTCTTTATTCACAGGCTCAGAAGCTTATTCGGCAGAAGGAGCTGGAAATTGGTGAATTCAGTGTGTACTGGGACACGGAGTGCACCATGCTTGGAGATCTTCCCTCAACAGACGTACAGGTACATTTTTTATAATGTAAGGAAGGACACTCAATAGCACAAAGTCTAGTGCTTTTTGTGAACTTTTTCTCGATCAATTCAATTGTCTGTTACAGGAGATGATGAGTAAATATATGCAGAGCCGTGAGCATCAGTATATATTTGAGCCAGTATGTGCCTCTGTGCTGGTGAGGAGGAATGCCTCTAAAGAGCCGCTACGATCTCGTAACACACCTCGCATTGAGGGCCAAGTGCAACTGGAACCCCTCTCACTTCGTCTGTCACAGGTAACTTTTTTTTTTTTAGGTCCCATATGTGGACCTTTCCTTTAGGCTGTTTTCTGGCACTCCAAGGAATATTGGCCCGACATTACATGTAAACTTGAGCACTTTTTGTTGTTTGATTGATTTGTGCGATGATGTCCCCTTTTATATCTGCTTCAATGTGAACATCAAAAGTAGTTGCAACTGGTTCCTTTTCTGGGTGACTTTAACCAAACTGGGTTTGATTCATTTAAAATATACTATATGTGAAACTAGTTTCGTCTTTTACTGTTTAACTCACATTTATGATTTAAATTGGTGCTTGTTTTCAGGTTCAGTATCAACAGATTATGGCATTCTTTAAAGAACTGGACCGACGAGAAAGGGAGATGCTTTTTTGGAAGTGGAGACCAAAACATCCCATTTCTGGAAAGTAATGAGATTTCTTTTTTTTTATTACAAACAAGCCTAAATATGTTTTGAAATAAGCTTTAAAAACCTCTTAATAGGTCATGTTGATTAAAACCTGAAAAATATTTTGTTTCACATTAATGGTATTTTTTACTAGAATAATATCTCCTTTTAATGTTGAAGCTGTCGACAGTGGTGGATGTTTGCCATTAATGCCAACCTGAATGAGATCAGAGAACAGCGGAGACAGGGAAGCTGGGACATTGCTCTGCACAGGGCGCGTGATGCCAAACTCTACACTAGCCTGTATTTCCAGAGGCTTAAGGGAGTTACTTTGAGTCCACAGGAGGAGGTAAGAATTATGGATTTACAGGATTGAAGAGTTAGATTGCCACAATGTCTCGGTATTCACCTTTGCATGAGTGGTGTTTGAGTTTGGAATCTTACATAATCTGTAATCTGTGTCTCTCACATCAATAGTGTGAGTTAGAGAGGATTGAAGATGAACAGACACTGGAGGAGTTGCAGATTCTCCGGGACACTGTTTATGTCTCCTTCCGCAAACATGAGGAAATTGCAGAGGCAAGCTGAGATGACTTACTTTAGTGGCACAGTTGTGGGTCTTTGAAAATGTCAGAGTTAAAAGTCATGGCTGATACTGTGTAGCCAAATATTGAAGAAATAAATTTAAACAATTCAAATAGTATTATCAATATAATCACTGTCCATACATTTGTTAAATCCATGTCACTTAACACTAATTAATCATGTATTTTATTCATCCCTCATATCCATTTAGAGTCTACGAGAGCCTATGATAAATGAGACCCCAGCCTCCCCTCCCTCAGGCTCTATACCTAAAAGTGGGAGTTCTGGCATGATCCAGTATCTGCAGTCTTGGTTCCCAGGCTGGGGTGGCTGGTATGGAGGGGGTGAAAGAGGGCCAGATGGACAACATATATATATATATATATATATATATATACTTATTATTGCAATAAAGCCTCAATGACTTCAGTTTTGAAGGTTGGTTTTACATTTTTAATTTTGCTTCACAGGTGTGAAGATCGGAGTTGAGTCTCTTCCTCGCTCAGAGTCTTCATTACTCACAGTGAAACTTGGTGGGTTGTTTCTCCGTGATCTCACTACCCAGGGCTCCATCTTTCCTGTCCTTGTTTCACCAAAACCGGTTAGTTTTTTTCTCACATTTAAATTTAGTTGTTGCCATAGAACAGTAATCTTCGTGTACTGAAAATATCTGTGACAGAAATATGTGTAATAATTGATTTCATAACTTTTCTACATTTTAAGGACAAGGTTGCTGTTGCTATCAGTCAGCCTTTTGGCCAGACTAACTGCACAGAAATGAGCAATCTATGTGAGTTATAAATTAAAACATAAATCTGTTGTATGAAAATACATATATACAAATAAATGTCTATGAAGGCTGATTAAGAACTTCAATTTTTGTCTTTTTTCAGCCTCTGATGTGGAATCATCAGCACCTCCTGTCTTTGAGATGATTTATGAACGTAATCCAATAAGGAGCAAATTTGAGAGGAGACTGGAGGTCAATACCAGTCCTCTCAATATCATTTATAACCCTCAGGCTATCAAGAAAGTGGCTGGTATGGAGGAAGTGAAAGAGGGCCAGATGGACAACCAGTTTCAGATGACCTTCTACCTGGCACTGCCCAGTGGGAAATTCTTGGTGAGTCTTCCATCAATGCTAACTGGAAAAAGATGATTTTTAAATAATTTCTGCAGGTACTAATTTTTTACAAATGTCTCTTTGTATTAAATTACAATTATATAGAACATTTTCATGGTATTATGCACCATGTATCAAGTCCCTTCTCTCCTCCAAACAGCTGAGACAGATGATCTCTTTGATCCTTTGGAGGATTCACAAACACTGAATACCTTTACAAGAAGGGATCATCTCTTTGCACGGTTGGACTTTATCCTTGAGAAAGCAGCTGTCACCCTGTACCATCAAGACAAAATGAAACCTCTTTCGAATGAGAGCGGGGTTATTCAGCTAGAGTTCGGGTGTGCATTAAGGATAAGCATCTATCTTAAATTAGTTTGAATTGGTTTTGTGAAATATCAGTTCATTATGGTTTATATAACATTTTCCAGGATTTGGATATCAGTCTGAGTTAGAGCTGAGAGTGGCTGAAGCAGCCAGGAGGCAATACAACAAGCTGAAGATGCAAACCAAGGCAGAAATCAGACAAACCATTGATCAGCTGCTAGTTGGAGAGTTCATTGTAAGAGAGGACTTTATTTAATTGCAATCAGTTACAGTTAGTAATATTAAGTAATAATTCTGCTGTGGTTTTTCTTTCACAGGAGAACAGTAAGCACTGGACTATGAAATTAGATATATGTGCCCCTCAAGTCATCTTCCCAGATGATTTTCAGTCTGAAGACCCCATGCTAGTTGTGGTAGACCTTGGGCGAATTCTTCTTACTAATTCCCAAGGTAACTGGTTCTGGTCAAATCAAATTTTCTGCTGTAGCCTTTTCATACATTATGCCTTTATTGCAGTTGTTGGCAACTTGTGACAGTTTTATTTGTCCTCCCACAGAAGATCATAAAACAAGTCCTAAGACCTCTCAGACAGAAGGAGAAAGTGATGAAGAATTCCAGACACCATTAGCAACACCTCCTGGCACTCCACCTCCAGAGAAAGAGGTGGATGTCAAAGGTCAAGAGAGGCCCTGTGATATTACCAGCCTTAAGTCAACAGAAGGTGCCCAAATTGTCAGCAAAAACCTATATGAGAAGTACTCCTTATCTTTCAATGACCTGCAGATCATGGTCGGTCACTATAAAGACAACTGGAAGCATCTACAGGACAGTGAAGTGGGCCCCACTCATGTGGTGGAGAAATTCAATGTCCTACTACAGCTAGAGCAAAGACTACGATACACATCAGACCCTCAGTTTCCAGGGGCTGTTCTCTCTGGAACACTACCAGACCTTAAAGTGCACATCAACCTGGAGAAGATGACTGCCCTGAGAAGCTGCCTGGCTCGACTTGGTAATTCAGGGGCAGATGGAGGTGACAAACATGGGGAGAACCTCAAATCCCCTGACCCTCTTATACTTCGTCATGAGAAGATCTTTCAGAGGGAAGATAGTGATTGGAAGCTCCAGAGTTCTGATAAAAATCTTACCAAGAGTGTGATGACACTTGAGCAACATACTCGAGAGGTGCTTGTGGAATCTAGACTTCTCCTTGTAGAGTTTAACATCAATTACATGCAACTTGGCATTGAAAGTGGAGGCCAGTATATTTCTGTTCTGAAAGTATTTGGAACAAAGTCACATTTTGTAAAGCGACCTTATGATGCTATGGTTTCCCTCACAGTCCATGGGCTCTACCTTGTGGACACATTGCAGACGTATGGCTCTGATTTTGATCTTCTTGTTGCATCTCATAAACACCTAAGTTTTGATGTACCTACTGGAAGTCTGCGAGAGAGCCAGCCCACATCACCTGTCTCACCAGACGGTAAATCTCCAGAACTGCCAGGTCTGCACAGGGACTCCTCAGATCTTGATTTTGACAAGGCATCTCCACGGGGCTCTCCCCTGAGAGACCAGGAGGCACTCATTAAGTTGGAATACCAGTTTGTCAGCTCAGACTGCCCGTCTATGAACTTGGACAGCTCTCTTCAGGTCATCTCCATGCAGGTCAACAACCTAGATATCATCCTTAACCCTGAAACCATAGTAGAGCTTTTAAAATTCCTTCAGCAGTCTTTCCCCAAAGATGAAAACTCTCCAACACAACAGCTACCACCACTGCCTAACGGAGAAGAGAATGAGGATACCTATCAGTCCACTTATGTCCAGAATAAGGAGTTAACTGTTGAAATTCACAGGTTAAACTTGCTGCTTTTGCGAACTGTTACCATTGGGACTGTTTTAGGAGGTGAGAAAAAAGGCATGAAAATTGCTACTGCCAGTGTAAATGGCACAAAAGTCAATGTTTCAATGGGAAGTCGATTGGATGTCAATGGTTCTCTAGGATGCATTCAGCTCGTAGACTTGACTCAGGAAGGTGGCAGAAGTCAGTTTGTGGTCAGTATTGGAAGTGTAGAAGACCGCTCCTCTACAGATGGTGTGGCATTCTTTTCCATTCCTGGCATGGCTCCCTCTGAAGCTTTGAGTTTCCGATTTATGGAAAAATCTCAGGGAGAATGCTCCCTCCAACTTCAGATGGCATCTTTACACTATAACCACTCAGCAAAGTTCCTGAAAGAACTCAGTTTATCAGCAAATGAAGTAGAAGACAACTTCCGGTCTATGCTGAAAACTGCAGCTACAACGGTCTCTACTGTATTGGCAACAAAAACAGCAGAGTACAGTGGTATGGTGTCTCTCTTTGAGAACCCATACAGAAGATCTAGGAGGCAGAGTCAGTGTAACTGGACACTTGACCCATTTGAGGAAGACTATTTCTGTGTCCCTGAAAAGGAACCAGGATTGGATTCTTTTATGGTCAAGCTGACTCTAGATGTCAGTATAGAATCCCCAGTTGTGTCTATTCCTAGAAAACCTGGTCACCCTGAGTTGCTTGTAGGACATTTAGGGAGCATACGAATTCAAAACTTTGTTACAGGGCATGACTCAGAAGGGGAGAAACTGCAGGTTGAAGTGAAAGATATAAGACTCTATTCAGTCAACACAAGCAACTTGATTTTAAGAAAAGGAGCACAACTTAACAGCAGCGCCACGTCTGGACCCTCACCTTCTCATGGTGGCAACATTAATCTGAACGAGCCACAATTTACACGACATGACTTCTTTGAGTACTTGAGCCGAGGAAAAGGTAAGTTGGAAATAAAATTTGGTGAATTCATGAAGCTTTTCCCCCTTCTTTATATTTAAGTCCTTTCAAGGCACTTTTGAACATCTCCATCTCTACGTCTTCTTCTTTCAGCATTTCATATTCTCAAAGATGCCACCATCCAGCTCACTGTTGAGAAAGTCCCTGTTGATGAAAACTTACACTTTACCTTCTCAAGTGAAGAACCTTACCAGAGCACTGGGCTAATGAAAGTGGATGGAAGATTTGTTAATGCCGTCCAGGTAAAGCACTACCCAAATGCATAACAGTTGTCTCTTTGTCATATGTAAATTCCATATTTTTAAATTGTTATATTTTCTGTCAGGTGTGTCTGTGTAAGCCTGTGTATGAGCAGGTCCTTCAGACTCTCGATAATCTCTCCTTCATCGAAGATCAGAGAGTTACGCCCAGTCAGCCCCCCACACCACCACCTCCCACTCCTTCCTCCACTAAACTACATCGCTTCCCTGATCTGCAAGGTGGACTCTTTGCTCGTGACCCTCCTCATGTTGGCATTTCTTACTCCTCATTGTCTTCATCCCTTTCAGCAACACTTCCACTGCAAAACAAGAGCCCCCCTCTCCAGCCTCCCTCTTTTACCCAAGTGAGGGCCATCTTTCGGGTCTCAGAGCTGCAAGTGCAGTTGAGTGGAGACCTTAGCCAAGGATGTCAAGGGTTGGTCAGTCTGCGCTTTCAAGACCTGGAGGGGGACTTCACCAAAGATCATCCCCATTCAGTCTCCATCCAACTAGCCCTTCACTCCTTGTTAATGGAAGACCTGCTAGAGCAAAACCCTGAATCAAAGTACAAACACCTTATGGTGTCCAGAGGTGCACCAAAGCCCTCCACCTTCAGTCCAAAGGAATATTTGTCACAATCTTGCCCAACAACGTCCAATGTTCTGTGCGCAGAAATGCCCCGTTCTCTTCCAGCACAATTTGAAGAGGCACAGAATGTTTTCCAATTCTATCAAAGGCACCCCAGTACACCATCTGCATCCAGTCGGAAGAGCAAGAAGGATGCAGAGTGCCCCAGTACCCCTCCTCCATCCCCATCCCGCCATACTCCGTCTCCACACCCACGGCCAGACTTTGATGATTCTTTGGTACATATCAACGTGCTAATGGTTGATAGGCGGCACCCAGAGTTTAAGACACGATATGGCAGTATCGGCCGTAGTGTGGATGTGGACTTCAACTGCCTTGATATTCTCATCACACTGCAAACCTGGGTAATGATTCTAGACTTCTTTGGCATTGGCTCTACTGCTATTAACCATGCTGTGAAAGTGCCTACCACCACACCTCAGCCTACACCTGAACACTCACTGGAAAATAGTACCCTCAATGATCTGGGAGATTTGTATACAGAGATTGAGGAAAAGGTCAATACAAAGCTAGATTTAAAGGTACAGTAAAAAATAATGCAAGAAATTTTAATAATTATATCAATTAATAAATGTTTTAAAAAAGAATATATAATGAACAACATATGTTTCCTTACATTAAAAAAATTATGGACAGTATAAACTTGAAAGAAAATGACTTGTGTACTTCCTCCACAGGTTCACTCTTTATCACTGGTACTAAGGAAGAAATCCAACGAGCTTGCTAAAGCTAGTGTCTCTAAACTGTTTACGCATATGGAAATGATTGGTGTGTATAATTATAATAATATTTGTTAAAATCAGAAAAAAGCTTTTTCTGAAAATTTATGTTTTATGTACAACACTTTTAGATGGAGATCTGGCATTGCAAGGAAGTCTGGGAAGTTTGTCATTGAGTGATTTGACACCCCACGGTGATCTGTACAGAGAGAGATTCACAACACATGGTGGAGAGGCACTTGTCTATGACATACACAAGTATTTTCTTTTTTTCTATCATTTTATGCATATTACATACACGTCCACATTTTCAAATTTTTTTGTGTCCATAATTTACTTTTGACATTGCCTCTATCTCCAGGTATGGCGAACCTGACCCCTGTTTGCAGCGGGAATATGATATGAAGGTGTCTCTTCAGATGGCCTCAGTACAGTATGTCCATACCCAGCGCTTCCAGGCTGAGGTGGTGGCCTTCATCCAGCACTTCACACAGCTACAGGATGTCCTGGGCAGGCAGAGAGCAGCCATTGAGGGTCAGGCTGTAAGGGCCCATTTTAATTCTGTTTGTTCAGTTGTAAACTTTAGACAATAAATTGAAATCTTGAGATAGCATCCTTAAATTTTATTTGGCCCACCTTGAGGCTGCTTTGTACTACAACCTAATGTAAGTGATGCATGTATCCCAGGGAAAACAGACCAGCCATTGCTGCTCAGATAACCATTTGGGTAATCAGCTGGATGTCCTCAATCCTTCCCTGCAGAGACAAAATAGAGTTATACAAGTTGTTGTCAACACCCATTTCCTTCAAACTGGAGACACTGGTGATGAGGCTGGACACTGAGCTGTCTGTCCTGGCTCTAATCCCTTCTTGCATACCACAGGCTAGAGATCAGCAGTTACCCATTAGGACATTCTCGTGTCTTGCTCTCAGTCCTTTTTCCGCTTTGCATTAGCAAAAGTACCAATATTTGCATCTACTTAACAGGTTTTTGTTGATTTGATTAATTCATCTTACCATCAATGTTATCTTGCAAATGGGTTGGTTTTCTTTGAAGTATTTTGAAATGCCCAGATGTGTAGGTCAAATGAGAATTTTGTTGCTTTCACAGATAATTGTTTTGTTCTGTGTTTGTTAGACAACATGGTTATTGTGCATTCTTGATCGAGCTAATCAAAATGCTGTGCTTTTTAAACCAGTTAGTGCTGTGCTAAGATGTTAGAATGCTAACTGAAAACAAGTTTCATTTGATCATTTTAACTTTGAAGTTAAATGAACGACTTCGTGCTGGGTTGGTCTACACATGATGAACAGAAAATGTAAAACACTGTCATGTTGTTTACCTTAATATAATCACTCTAAATTAGCTTAACATTTAAAAATAGATGACTTTATTCGGACATGTAGTGAGATGCCATTTAATTCTAGGCCGTCATGACATTGCAGTGATCTTTAAAGGGGATTGTTTTAATTCACCTTCTACCCTACAGGTGCGTGAGCGCCCACAGCGAGCTGCTCGTGTGCTACTGGACATTGAGGCAGGTGCTCCTGTCCTCTTGATCCCAGAGAGCTCCCGCTCTAAACGCCTCATAGTGGCCAACCTGGGCCAACTCCGAGTGCGTAACCGCTTCCTGCCTGCTGGCACTCGTGGCACCTTCTCTCTCAGAGATAAGGTAGAGAAACTTACAATGGCACATACCTTTTTCCCTTCTCTGGTGAGTCCTACCATCACCATATACACACTACACCACCACTCTGCACCTGTGGGATGCATTTAAGGAGCATTTTACTGTCGGTTTGCTGCAATCTGAGAATGATTTCATAATGTAAAAAAGACTTGGGGGTGGGGAAACGCATTGAGGATTGATAGCTTAAATTGAATTTCTCAAACAAGCATTGAGGAAATTGCTTCATGGATGTAGTCCCATTCTTTACTCTGCATGGTTAAGATCACAGTTTTTTAGTAGAAAAATTATATTAGTGTGGATTCACCTTTCATTTAATCCCTGTGTGATTGTCTACAGGTTGTGTGAATATGAGACCCAAATTAACAACAACAGTTTATGAACATTAACATTCATCTTATTATTTGTGTTTGAAGAATTTGATTTTGCATGCTAATTCATACAAGGATCCCTCACATTATAAGGTATCAGGGAATGCTAATCGAGTGTGTGTTTCTAATTTTGTAATATGATGGTGTCCCTTCTCTCTTTGCTTTTTTCATGACTTATGCAAGGAGTTTCACATTAAATTAATTCCATTTGAATTTCCAATTCAGTGAAATTTAATGTAAATGTCACCCAAAAATGAAAAGTATCTCATTATTTACTCACTTATACGTTTTATGTACTGTATGCTGATTTTTATTTATTTATTTGCATTTGTATGGCAAAGATCTATGTAAACATTATTTAAAACATTCTTTTATGGTGTTTAAATGACATTATGTAAATAATGAATTTTCATTTCTGGGTGAACTATACCTTTATTTTATATTAAAAGTGAGCCATGCATGTCTTTGAAGATTAGCAAAGTATTTGTGACTTTGAAGTAATTATCCTACATGAGTGATATATGGTGGAATTGATGCCAACACTGTTTTCTATGTCAGTCTTTTGGCTGCAGTGCACACTGAACTAAGCTCACACTTTTGTTATAGTATCTTTTAAATCTAAACGTTTTAAGATCTCACAATCTTATTTCCAATTAAATTTCTATACTGCTTCTATAATTAACAATTCATATTTTGGTTGCCATTTTAAAAATTTTCTCTCTTTGGCTGTTGATTTACAAAATAATAATCATTCCTGAAGGATCGAGTGAAGGATGCCCAGTCTGCCTCGGATGCTGGGAAGACTATTGATAAAAAGTCTTCAAGTTCCAGCACAACTTCTGGATTTACCCTGGGCAGACCCCAGCCTGGCCTCGAATGCATCCCAGAAGCAGATGTGCCATCGAGTCCAGGTTAGTACCCAGAATCTGAGATGCACTTTATTGTGGGGAAACACAATTTTTACTAGTGGACTAATTCTTTAGATCCTTCTGTATATTTATATCTACCTGAACTCATGTGGTAACTGACATGCCCTTGTGTTACAGAAGACCATGTGTGTCTGCTGGACTGTATAGCTCTGGACCTTCAGGAGATGGACATCTTTGCAGCAGAGCGGCTGCCCTGTGAGCCATGGGACAGTGTTGGAAAGCATCTGGAAACAGACTTGATCTTCCCATCTTACGCAGTTCGTAGGAGTGGAGAGAGGCTGCTAAAGGAGCGCTGCCATCTAAAGCTGAAAGTAGAGCGCAACCTTGACAAGTCAGTCAGCTGTCCTTATGTATCTTAAGCTTTTCTGCCTTATTTAAACATGCTCCCAGTTTAGGTTTTATTTGTCTTTGTTTTGAACATGTGTTTCATTTCTGCCTTGTCTTAGGGAACTAAGTCATGCTGTCCCGGACATGTCTATCCATGGCAGCCTGTCTTCTGTCCACTGCTCCCTAGACCTGGAGAGGTATCAGCTGGTCCGCGGACTCTTGGAGCACAACCTGGGAGAGCCTGTGGAGGAGTTCCTCAGACCTTACAATCTCCAAGACCCCAGCACCTATGTAAGCTTATTACAGAAGCTTTGCTGATACTCCTTTTGAAATGCGAACTGTTTTGTGGTTCACAGTTAAAACTGGCATTTCTTTATCATATGATTTTTAGCTTGCCACCATTTAAAAAATTACCCTTCATTTGAAAAATGACCACTGATATAAATTTTGAAGAATGGCTAATTTGTTTATTTAAAAAAGTAATTTTCAGGCTTTGCGGGCCGTCACAATGTATTAATGGAAGTGTCGTTAAACAGTGGAACTGTGATTAACAAGAAAAATAAAAATATTGCTGACCACTGATATGAATTATGTAGAATGGCTAATTTGTTTATAAATTAGATTTGGTAATTTCTTGATTCTTTTACCATCGCTTCCTATCCCCTCTTGAACAGTCCTATCTGTACTAAAGGCAAAGCCCAAAAGAATATTTGCAGGTTATTCACAATGTATTAATACAAGTGTCATCTTGCAGACCGTGTTAAGTGGTGATGTGTACACATCCCTGTCTCTTCTGGTGGACATGAAGGACGTCAGTCTGGAGTTACTGGACAACCCTAAATCCACAGGCCATAACCACTCCTTGGCCAGGTACTTCTTTGTTCAAAATGGTTTATTTCTTTACCATAGGGATATCTAATGTGCTTACTCTTTTACTCCTAAAAGGTTTGACTTTATGAAATCGAAGCTCCTGTTCGAGAGTTTCTCTAATAGCTCTAAGTCTGTGAATCTGGTGTCTCATTCACTCCTGGCACATGACACGCGATTCACTGGGAGCAGTGGACCCACAGAAGGGAAACGCAATGTGTTTGATTGCATTCTGCAGCCATCCAAGACCGGCGCTAACCGAGCCTCACTGCAGCTGGAGCTACATTACAGGTCTGGGGCCGCCACTGAAAGCATTTAAATGCATCTAAAGACTAAATGCTTGTTCTATTATATATTCTCTCTCTCACAGATCTACGCGGGACTCCTCATGCTTCACTGTGGTTTTAAACAATCTGCGAGTTTTCCTCATTTTTGATTGGCTACAGCTGGTGAGGGACTTTCTGCACATGCCTCCAGAAAAAGGAGCAGCGCCTACCCACCAGCGCTGGCCTAGTGGCAGCAGTGACCAAGGCGGCACAGGAGCCGTCATGCCCAAAACAGTCAAGAGCGGCGTGGTCACTAAACGATCCACTGTGCCAGTCACTCAAGATAAATACCTGGAGGTCAAAATCAATGTGACAGGTAACATCTTTACAATACTGTGTATTGTAAAGTCCTGACATTTTTGGACACACAAATCTTACAATTGTGATGTATAAATTTCATTGAATTAGATCAGGGCTTTTCTTGATTAGATCAAAAATTCAAAAGCTACAGTCAAACCAAAAATTATTCAGACACCAGATATAATTTTTGATATTTTTTTACTAGTGGGTGCAGGACACAATAGTTCATTTATGTAAGTGAGGATAGCAAAATAAAGTAAACTGTGACATATACCCAAAATTTCTTCATACAGTGGACTACCTGTAAAATTGATAAAAAATTTGGTATCATAAATTATTCAGACACGTTGACCTGACCTTGTTTTGCTTAAGTGTTTTTTCTTTAATTACTAATGCGATCTTTTTACACCACAGACTGAACAAAATTAAGCATTGCTTGGTAATTGGTTGACCTAAATTGGTATTATCTAATCGTGTACTTGAATGTAACAGCTGACAGCTATTCAACCGAATTCATTACATACCCTTCTATCAAAGTTATCTGACATTATCAAGATGAATTTGTTCTGACACAGTTTAACTCTGTGAGTTCTTGTCACATTTTATTACCATTTTCTAAACTATAGCAAATAAACTGTGATAATGTGAGAAATGTTGAAGGTGTCTGAATAAATTTTGGTTGGACTGTATATAAAAATACCCACTTTAGTGTACATACACTGCAGTTAAATGTTTTATGTTTGAAAGAAGTCTCTATTGCTCACCAAGGCTGCATTTATTTAATCAAAAATACAGTAAAACGAGTAATATTGTGAAATATTATTACAATTAAAAAAAATTGCATTGTCTAATTTCTGCTGTCTTATTTTCCTTTAGGGACAGAGTTTGTGGTCGTTGAAGATTCTTCATGTTTGGACGCCAATGCTATCATTCTGAAAGGCACTACTGTACTCACCTACAAGCCTCGACTTCTGGACAGGCCTTTCTCTGGCAGCTTAGCAGGCATTGAGGTAATGCCCTGGACATCTATGATTTTACAGTATCCATGACATAAAAGAAAGCAGTGTTGTAGTAAAAAAAATTTGTTTTCTTCCACCCCTGCTTAGGTATTCTCCTGTCGACTGGGGAGTGAACAGGAAACGGCTTTGTCTATCATTGATCCTGTCAATGTACAAATGGAGCTCTGTGGCAGCCCAACGTACCAGAGCAGTTCAGGACTCCTTGATGCCTTCAACATAGAGGACTTTCCACCTCTGTTGGAGGTCACTATTCAGTTAAATTGAACCACAGGACAGGATGAACTATATAGGTGCACAGTTTAAGATTTCGTTTCCCCCACAGATCCAGTTTCCAGCTCTAGACATCCGTCTTTCCTACAATGATGTGCTGCTTTTCCTGGCAATAGCCAAGTCCATTCCAACCACAGGATCCACCGGCCCTTCGGACACTGCCACAGAAGCTGAGATTTCAGCGTCCACTGCCAGCACAGACACTCCATCCAAATCAAAGGACAGCTTTAAGCAAAAGACAGAGGCTTTACTGGGTTTGTTAACTGATAAAAAATATATTATTTCTATTGAATATCTCAAAGAGATCTGCGAAGATTTGTTTATTTTTGGGCAAAACTATCCCTTTATTTAAAAAGCTTTGCTGAAGTTTCTTAAAATATTTTATTTTAGAGGGTCAGCTTAAACGGTTACAGGATCTTGGGTTCAAAAGGGAAGACTGCAGACGGGCACTCATTCACTGTAAAGGTACACCAGTGCACTTGTCTACCAAAATCACAGAAAACACGTGTGAATTGTGTGATGATCCATTGTCTGTGTGTGTGTGTTGAATTACAGGTCAGTTGGACCAAGCCACCACATGGCTGTTGGAGAACGCAGAGAGCATGTCTGGCCGAACCGACTCAGACTCCAGCAGCCACTCGGCTCCTCCCCTATCTGGAGTGGAAGTGAAGGCAGAGAGCGTGTGTATCTGCTTTATCGATGACTGCCTGGACTGTGACGTCCCTCTGGCAGAGCTCACCTTCTCACGTGAGGATGGCCGCATACTGTGATACTCCATAATATCAAATATACTGTAGGCAGGAAGTTCTTTAGCAGCTTTTCTCCTCTATTGCAGGTCTTTATGTTCTCCAGAGGATTGGGTCTATAAAGGAAGGCAAGGCTAGTTTCACTCTGTCTGGAGATTATTACAACAGAGAACTCTCAGGTAAGATCTCAGCATTGTGTGCCACCCTGGATCTCAGTACCTTCTCAAAAGTTAGTCAATCCTTTCTACAGTTCAAATAACATTTAACTCACTGGTTTAGAGTCATTTTATAGAACTATCCCATTTTATCTCTCCACAAGTATTGAGTTTAAATTAAAATCTGAGACACTGAAAGGGGATGCTTAAACTAACTTATACCTGGAATGTAGAGATGCACTGCTATTAAAATTCTGCCTAATAGTTATTTATATGCTATAGCTGATAACCAATACATAATATTAAAACTGAGTACTATTTTGTCTAAAACAATCAATTATATTGTTATATTAGCTAAAGTGAATTTAGGCATTATATCATTATTATGTACAGTATGAAAAATGGATATTCATATATTTGGGTTTTGCTAAAGAGGACATTTAACATTTAACTTTGTTAGATGACAAGGTAATTTCAGGTATTTCAAATAAGGCTTAAATAGAATAAAATATACTGTAAATATTATTTAAAAATTAGTTACAAATTTGGCAGTTAAATAAAGTAAATAACTTAAAGTATAAATAGAATATAAAACATATATACTAGTGAAAATGTGAAAAGCACATAAAATTATGAAAACTAAAATGAAAACATATATATATATATATAATTTATTAATTTTAATCGTTAGCAGCGCAAAAGGTCATGGGTTCGATTCCCAGGGAACACACATACTGGTAAAAAATGTATAGCCTGAATGCACTGTAAGTCGCTTTGGATAAAAGCGTCTGCTAAATGAATGTAAATGTTCAGGTTTGAGGGTTTGTTAACATTTTGGATTGACCAAGAGCACTGTAGTTGTACAATAACTAAATTAATCCTCAAAAATACAACTTGCCTAATAATTGTGCACACAGTGTATTAAGAAAATTTTCCATTTGACACATTTACCATTTTCTGTTCGACACATTTTAACTAATGTCACATTTCCACGGAAGACTATATGGGTCATTTTCAAGGATTGAGATGTGAGCTAATTGTGAACTGAGTGTAAACTGTTCACTATGTATTTCTGTGTAAATTCATGAGCACACACATTTGTGTCTGCCGGTCTATAGGCTGGGAGCCATTCATCGAGCCTTGGCCATGTTTCCTGGATTGGCAGCGACAGGCGGCAGGCCGGCTCCATCCTCCTCGCCTGAAGATCAGAGTTCGAGCCAAGCAGAGGCTGGATGTCAACATCACCTCGGTCTTACTGGGTACATAGTCTGGGTCAAACACACTCATAGGCCTCCATGCTTTTCTCTAACTGTTTGCTTCCATATTTATGAGTGGTATGTTCATTTTGACACTCTGCTGTGGCCTGTCGTTCTGACAAACAGAGCAGTACAGCACCACCAAGACTTCGTGGTTAGCAGATTACTGCAAGGAAGACGAGCAGTCGCCACAGTCCTCCGCCGCCTTGTCTTGGATGGGATCATCAGTGGACCCCCCCTCCTTTGGCCAGAGTGAGTAACAGCCGTTTGCTTAACCTGCACTTTCTTTCAGCTCTTAAAAAAAAGATTAACTGCACTGCAACACTGTGTTACATATTTGCTTACATTAGAGCTTGATATACCTTATCCATAATTTTTAAAGCTGAAGTGTGTAAATTTTGCACCACAAGTGTCACCATATGTACATTATTGTTCAAAAGTTTGGAGTCAGTAAGAATTATTATTTTTTTGACATGTCTCTTATACTCACCACAGTTGCATTAATTTGATTAATAATACAATAAAAACAGTAATATTGTGAAATATTATTACAATTTAAATGAACTGTTTTCTATTTTAATACGTTTTACAGTTTGAATCATTTCTGTGACGTCAAAGCTGAGTTTTAATCAGAAATCATTCTAATATGCTGTTTTGGTGCTCAAGAAACATTTATTATTATTATTATTATTATCAATATTGAAAACAGTTGTGCTCATTAATAGTTTTGTGGAAACCATTTTTCTGTGTTCTTTGATGAATAGAGAGATCAAATGAACGGCATTTATTTGTGATACAAATCTAGTTTCAAATGTCTTTACTGTCACTTTTGATCAATTTAATGCATCCTCACTAAATAAAAGTATTAATTTCTATTATTCTTTTAAATTACTGACCTCAAACTTTTGAACGGTAGTGTAATTACCAAGATACTGATTATCAAACAGGGGTCACATACACTCTTTGTGTCTGTCACTGGTCAGACAAACCTGAGAAATCAACCTACAAACATTTTTTTTTTATTGTTCTCTCTACATTTTAAGCTAGGATGGTAGGATAGTATTTTAACATCAAAACACTTCACAATCACACACTTCAGCTTTAGACAAGTTAATGTTGAATGGTTTGAAACTGTAAATCCATCAAATAAATGTATTTTCAAATAAGTAACAGTTTAAATCAGGTTTATTTCTTTTGAATATAAACATAAATCTTAATATCATTTTGAATTGGTGACTAACAATGAGCTGTTTTCAAAGTGTTTGTAAGATAAGACCACAGCATATACTCTCATGATGTGTGCGTCTCATTCTACCCTTCTCTTTGACCGTATGCGTCTCCCCTCTTCCCACAGACTCCTAGCATGTATCTATCTCTTCTCTTTTCCCTAACCCTTTCTCTCTGCTGTCAGGTCTTCCTCTTGCCTACCTTAGAACTAGAAGCTCTACCAGCTTGACTTGTCTCGAGCAGCAGATTCATGCCCGAGGTACAGTTCATAGATGCGCAGTCAACTATAGAGAAGTCAGAAGATCGTGTTTGGTGTCATAGAGATTAGGATAGCCTCGTTCTCTGAGTTCTCTAACCCTAACCCTTCATTTACCCTGTCCCTTAACCTACAACCATATATACTAAACCTACTTTGTGTTAAATGGTAGTTTCTGATGCCATCCTTTTCTTTAAAGGGGTCATATGATGCTGCTAAAAAGAACATTATTTTGTGTATTTGGTGTAATGAAATGTGTTTATGCGGTTTTAGGTTAAAAAAACACATTATTTTCCACATACTGTACATTATTGTTTCTCCTCTATGCCCCGCCTTTCTGAAAAATGACCCCTTTAGATCATGCTTTCTTATTACAGAGTAAATGAATGTGTTGTATAATTGTCACTGATTAATGAAAGCCTGTGGCTTATTTTATATTCATGCCATTGTTTCAGCGGATATGAAGCTCTCCAAGAGGAGACAACCATTTGTGCCCTATGCCTTACGTAACCATACTGGATGCACTATGTTGTTTGCTACTCTCACTACCACACCAACCAGGTCAGAAGGCATATATTATTCCTACAATATTCAGCTGCATTTAATAGTTTGTAAAAATGCAAGGTGGTTCTGCTGTGTCCACAGAGTGGCGCTGTCTCACAGCAGTAGTGCTGACTCCATATCTGATGTGCATGGGCCTGGGACCGATGATACGCACAACATCAGCCAGTGGAGAGAGGTGCTGCCAGGGGAGGAGATCCCATTTGAGTTTGAGGCCCGGGAGAAACTGAGACACAGGTAGAAGAGGGTGTCTCTTTCATAAATACAATTGGATTTGAATGTGCTAGCGTTGGACACCATTGTTTATACTTGCTTTCTCATGAGAATTTCAGGCATTTTGTTTTCATACAAAGCGACTTATAGACAATAGCTTCATGACAAACTTTCTGAAGAAAACCTGGCTTTAGTGCCATGCTCAGGGGCACAGTTATAATAGAAATGAATAGTAACTACAGCGGTTCTCCAACTCTGGGATTGTTCATAGCTTAGAGGTTATGACTTCTTGATCCCAGGCGAAATGATGCAGAAGCTGTGACGTTACAGAAATCACAGTCCTGCTCGACCTCGACCAACATTTTCTCCTTGAGCAAGGTTCCAAGGTTGCCCCACATTTTGTGTACTGTCATTTTAGATTGTTAGCCTGTAATTTAGCAAGTAAGATATTCAGGAAAAAATGTTGAGCTGAACTTGTTTTGATTCATCTGTAGTTTATTGGGTCGTGAAAAGTATTATTTATATACTATTATATGTACTATTTAATATAATTGTAATTTAGTGCATTTTTTGTAATTTATGTGCTTTTTTGTAAAAAAATTTATAAGCTTTTGCTTTTTAAAATTGTAACTTATGATTTTAGTTTTAGTTTAATTTTACTTTTTAGTAATTTTAGATCTTCAACTTAAACATATTTAGTAAGTTGCCGAGGTAATATTTAAAAAAAAAAAAGCTAACCGTAATAACACTGCTATCAGAATGGAGCCAAACTTAAAAGCAAGTTCACATAAACAATATGCCATGCACTATTGAATTATTATCATATTACAGTATAACCAGAAATATTGAAATGTTTTTACTTGTTTACCAAAAAGAAAAACGTGTTGAACTGTAAACTGATTTTTTTTTATTTGCTGTATTGTTTGTCCTCTAATACCTCATTGATTGTACTTTCCACCTCTTTGCTGATGATGTGCTCTGACCACAGACACACCCATGAGCTGAAACTCCACCAGCTGCTGGTGCGTGTTGTAGGCTGGGAGCAGGTGAAGCCAGTGTCAGTGGACAAGGTTGGAGTATTTTTCCGCTACGCCGCTCCTGATCGAAACAACCCCTCAAGTACTGTGAGTTTTAATAGGTCGTTATGTGGAGAATTCATTTTTCGACATGTTTAAACCACTAAACTCATTAGTAATTCACAAATGCATTATATTAGTGATTCTCTACATGCATTTTGAAGTCTTTGACTTCTCTTATGGGTCTTTTAAATCAAACTTTTTTTTCTGCTCTCTTATTTCATCATTTTGAAATACAAAATCTTTTGAGTAATTCGTGAAAAATAAAAATGCTTCATAAAAATGTAATGATACGGCTTTTCTAGGTTGGCAGCCCAATTAGCAGAACCAACATCATACACCCTCATGTATATGTAAGTGTTTGTATCTCGTAACATTATACTAAATTATTCTAGAGTATGTACAACATCTATAATCTCTGTTCAGTTCTCAGCTTTGCCGCCTGTTCGAGTGGTTTTCTCTATCACTATGGAGGGCAGTGCACGTAAGGTCATTACAGTGCAGTCAGCACTCAAAGTGAAGAATCACCTTGAGGTTCCCATGGAAGTGCGACTAGACAGCCCTTCAGCTCCAGACAGTAAGCACACACCTTATTGTTTATGGTGTACCTGTGTTTATCAACTAGGAATCTAAATTTAATTGTTTACCTTCTATAGAACCTGTTATCCTGCCTCCCATCCTGCCTGGAGAGGCCTTGGCCATCCCTCTCCATCTGACCTCTTGGAGGCTTCAGGCGAGACCTAAAGGCTTGGGGTTGTTCTTCTGTAAAATGGCCATCCATTGGACCTCTGTGGAGCGGCCTGGTGAGGTCAGCAGCAGTAAGAGAGAGTGCCAGTCAGCAGACTTTGATGAACAACTCAAGCGCAGCTTCAGGTAAAAAATAGGCTGACTGGAGAAAGAAAATACCAAATGAAGAATGATCCTAGAGTTGTAAACACTTTTGTACTTTTTTAGGTTTTGTGTTGTCATTAAAAAAGAGAACTACCCCGATCAGAAGCCTGCCAAAACTGTAGCAGGAGGTACAAAGCAGATCTACCGCCAACCAGGTCACACCATCTATCTGCTGCCCACCCTGGTGCTGGCCAACCTTCTTCCCTGTGACCTTAACTACTACATCAAAGGGACCTCAATCAAGGGAACCATGAAACCAGGCAAAGAGGCAGTGCTGCATGCAGCAGACACATCACAAAATCTAGAATTAGGTGAATTGGAGTACATGATAATTTATCACATATTTAACATAAAAGTTGCTTTACTAATCCACATTTCTGTTGACATAAAGCATCATGAGTTTGCTATTTGTTCTTAGGTGTGCTCCTGGAGAACTTTCCTATGTGTAAGGAGCTGCTCATCCCTCCCGGTACACAAAACTATGTGGTGCGCATGCGGTTATATGATGTCAACAAACGGCTGCTCTGTCTCACCATACGGATTGTTCTCAGAGTCCACGGAGCATTAAAAATCCTCATCTCTGCTTCCTATTGGCTTGTCAACAAGACTGGTATGCTTTCAGATCTATGCATTGACTATAGATTGATGATATGAATTTAAAACCTTAACCGAACACAACTGTGCTGCACCACATCTGTAATATTTCCATTGATTATTGTGTCTGCAGGGCTGCCTCTGATCTTTCGCCAGGACAATGGGAAAACGGATGCCGCTGGGCAGTTTGAGGAGCATGAGTTAGCCAGGAGTTTGAGCCCATTGCTCTTTTGCTACACTGACAAAGAGCAACCCAATATGTGAGTGCAAGAGAAGGGGAAAATCCAAAGAATTCTCATTGTGTGTTCCCACCATCCCCACTCATCAAATGCTTTTATATATCTTATTTAATTAGCCTGCATAAATTCCACCACCATTTTATTCATTTATTATATCATTTATTAATTACTCAACATAGCAGAAATGTAATTTAACTACATAATTACCCTTTATTCCTTTAAAGCTCTCTAAAGTCTTGTCCTTTTTGAACAGGTGCACCATGCGGATCGGTAAAGGGATCCACCCAGATGGTGTTCCAGGATGGTGCCAAGGTTTCTCTCTGGATGGGGGGAGTGGAGTGAGAGCAGTTAAAGTCATCCAGCATGGTAACAGACCAGGACTCATCTACAATATAGGTAATAAGGAATGCCTTTCCTGTTTTAAGATAAGCATCTGTGAAATCCATTAGATTTTTTTCCCAAATTCCGTTTTATTTTTTTTCTCAAATTTAGGTTTTTCCGTTTTATTTTTTCTAGACTCAGTTTTAATGTTTAAATTAAAATGTATTGTTTAATTAATTTAAATCATGAAACTTACACAATTTAACAGCAATTTATTAAAAGTTTGACAAAAATTGCAATTTTATGGCCCTATGAAATGCGTTTTTTTTCTCAAATTCAGTTTTATTTTTACCAAATTCTGTTTTCCATTATTTTTCTTGATTTCATTTGAATGGTTTCATTACATTTTAATAATCAAAAGCATCTCTAAATAATCGATTTGATTTAAAAACTAATTTATTATTATTATTATTTTATTTCTTTATTTTTTTCAGAAATGCTATGCTTTATGTGTTTACATTTTTCTGGTAAATATTCCTTGAAAATAATGTTTTAATAATTTCATTTTTAGTAGTAGTACTGTCATTACATTCAGTAATATATTTCTGTCACAGTTTCTTTAAGTTAAACCAAACTTTTATTTTGATGGTTGCTGTGACAGTTGCAGTTTGTATATGATGTGACGTTTTTCTCAAAAGAAACGGTAAAATGCTCATGAAGTAACTCTCAGAGCAGTTCTAGAGATTATGTTTATGTGTTTATGTACTCGTATATTGGGGTGGCGGAGGCTGAAAACATGTCATGCGTGCTTCAGAATGTGTGTAGTAAACGAAATTCACATTCATTCACACGGAGAACATGCAGGATTCATATTTAAATAGTATTTTTGCGGCTTAATATTCACAGACACTAGTCCATAGCGTTATACAGTAATTTCCCTTTCTATGACTGGATTCTACAATTCCGTCCACGTTTAGCTCCAACTAACACACCTCGCTGGATGTTTCTAGTAATTGAAGATACTGATTAGATGGTTCAGGTGTGTTTTATATCCAAATCTGCAGGACAGTGGCCGCCCAGAAGCAGGAGTAGACACCACTGTGCTAAGTTGATGTAATAATATAATTTAATGTCTCATTATAGGAATAAATGTGAGAAAAGGGAAAGGACGTTATCGTGACACACACATTGTGACCTTTGCTCCACGATACCTGCTTGACAATCGATCATCTCACAAGTTAGCCTTTTCTCAGCGGGAATTTGTCAGAGGAAAGGTGGGAATGCATGTTTTCATTGTGTTTGTCATTGTGCTATGTTTTAGATATTCCTAATAAAAGACACAGGATAATAACTGATAACGTTTTTTTTTGCTTGTAGGGTACTGCAAATCCAGAGGGATATATCTCCACCCTGCCAGGCTCTAGTGTTGTGTTCCACTGGCCCAGAAATGACTACGATCAGCTTCTCTGTGTCCGTCTCATGGATGTTCCCAACTACACCTGGTCTGGAGGTTTTGAGGTCAACAAGCCTAAATCCTTCCACATCAACATGAGGTACCCAGTGCCACCAAATATGCTCTAGATATAGTTGAACAGAAAATGACTTAGAGAGGAGTTCTCAATTTCATAGACATTTTTCCTCTCATTATGTGTTCCATAGGGACACTTTGGGAAACTGCTTCTTCCTCCGAGCTGAGATTGCTTTGAAAGGGGCAACATATCAAATCTCATTCAGTGACACTGACCAGCTGCCCCCACCCTTCCGTATAGATAACATCTCTGAGGTAAGTCCTTAGAGGGTACACATTATCAAGTATTGTAAGGCTGTAGAACGGTTCAGAAGATTTGAGAATAAAGAGTATCACTAAGATGGTTGGGAATATGACCTAGCAAGGAACTCAGGTCACCCACGGGCATCACAGCTCAATTTGTCAAAACACATGAATAAGAATGCAGTGCTAACCACAATCTCAACCTAAATCATATAAGATATTGTGGTGCGCCTCTTTCATTTCAGAAATTTCAGTTTTGCTTAAGGGAGACTTGGGTTCTGGTTGTGCCTCTGACTTCTTAAAATAAACATATTATTATAGAAAATATGTCCTTTCAGTGTTCAATTCTGGACACCATAACATGTATGAAAGAGTAGGCATAAAGCACATTCTTCTTAAAAGGTGTGCTTGTAATTAATATTAGCCTGTTATTTGGGGTTTAATTGGGTATCTGCAGGTGTGCACATTTTCCCTCACCTTCTTCCGACCCCTTAGCCAGATTTCCCGTCATTTGATCTGTTGGTGGTTTTGAATTTACTGAGCGAGACACCATTCTAGCCATTATAAAAGGTGGATATAAAGCTTTTGTCACACAAAATAGCTCTTTTACTCCCTCTGGCATGACTTAAGCAATCGATTCATCCGTCAAGCATTGAATTCAAACCTGACAGCTCTGCATCCGGTGGTTTCTCTGTCTCACTGCTGCCCTTACATTAAAAACAGGTCTTTTTTTTATCTGCTAATGATTATTATGGGTAGACATTTAGCTGCTTCTTTGGTGTGGGTCTTGATATTAAACAACAAAATGTTGGTTGTGCTGGGATTAGACACATTCTCAGTGATTTATCTTGGAGTCTTGGTATCTTGGTGTTTCAGATCTTTCATCATCAAACATCAATCTAGGCTACCCAGCTGAGGATGATCAAACTTCTGTTTATGCTCTAGCAGCAATATCACACAAATCCACTCCAGAGCCTACATCCAGAGGATAGAAATATCCTACATCTAGTTGCAAGCACCTTGCTCTACTGTCACTGACAATATGCGCCTCTCCACTCATTGGCCTACTCTAAAAGCGCTGTGAGCTCCTGCGTTATTCCAGCATCTTCTTTGTTGTCTCTGACAACAATAAGGTCCAAAGATGGTCTTGCCAACATTTTGAGAGAAATTCTGTTGTTTTCCCAGCTCCATTGTCATCTTCCATTTCTGCCATGTTATTTGTTTTATTCAAGCTGGTGGATAGCTTTGAGAATTTTGTACCAGCTTATTGTAGCATTTGCACATTTTCTCTGCAGACTTCTCCATAATACATGTCCTCTTTACTTCAGGTGCCTATCCAGTTCTGGCAACATGGAGTGGCTGATATCAGGCTACACACAGAGGTAAAACCTGGGGCGGTTCTGGACTATGCCTGCGACGAACCCATTCTTCAACCCTACATCACCCTCACTGTGAAGGGAGCTGGATCCTCAGAGGTTACTGCTGACATGAACTTCTTCAGAGAATACAACAAGCTCTACTATGAGAACTTCATCTACATTGCTGCATCCTTCACATTCTCAGAGTGAGTTCTCAACCTCTAAACTTCCAAATAGCTCACTAATCTTTGAAACTGACCAATTTCAAGCAGACAACTTTCCACTGGCCGTCGCACTTGTGTATTACGTATGTTTGTAAATATAAGTAAATATTCACTTGATTTGATAACAGAGATGCAGGAAAGAGGCCAGTGGGGAGGAAACGGGTGGTCAGCTGTGCTGAACTGGTGCTGGATGTGGAGACGAAAACACAAAGAGTCATCCTGAAGAAAAAGGTCTGCTTATGTTCTTCCGAAGCCATCTGTCTGCCAGTTTCTCATTATAGTTTGTTCTCAAAGGTTCTCACATTTCTTTATCTGTTCAGGAGCCTGGAAAGCGCTCCCAGCTTTGGCGGATGACGGGAACAGGAATGCTCTGTCATGAGGGCTCATCTCCTCCACAGAGCAAACCTTCTCAGCCTCGACCCCTCAGTTCATCTTTAGTGCTTGACATTGCTGGACTGGCTGCAGTGACAGACAACAGGTTACCTAACTGCTTCATAGCGCAACAAAGGACAACTTGTGCCGTCTTATTTTAAGCTTGTTCTTGTCCATGTAGAGAGTAAACATTATCATGGTGTGCGGGTGTCATTTCTCACATATCTTGTATTTCTTTTTTAGCTATGAGCCTCTGATGTTGAGACGGCCAGACTGCCGCCGCAGCACCACACAGACATGGCACTTCAGCTCTGGCATGTTGACCTGTGGTTTACCCAGACTAGTCGTCCAGGTCTGTCCTTATTTCATCTGATTTTTTTGCTCCTCAATGGCTATTTTCAGTATTAAACAATCTGTGGCTCTTTAAAAAGCTGTTTGTGATGTTTTAGGTAAGAGGGGGAGTTTCTGGACTATATGATGGTGCTGAGGTGGTACTGGGACCAGACTCTGGTGTTTTGGAACCGTTACCAGAGCAACAGTTCATCAACCAGAAAATGAGGCCTGGCTCAGGGGTTCTGTCTATACAAGTCCTGCCTGATGGGCCAACGCGAGTATTGCAGGTAAGACACCCCGTTGTTATTAGGGTAAGACACTTTCATTGTTATTGAAGGACATGGTTGGGGTAGCATGCCATCTGAAACCATATGAAATGGACTTGGTTCCTGTCTTTCTTTCACACTTTCTAATATAATAAGAAGCTGCATACCTCATTTCAGATCAGTGACTTCAACCAACGGCGCGTGAATAGACCCTCTCCCAGCACGGAGGAAGACCAGAATAAAGAGAGCGCTCAGAAGAAAGTTCCTGAGGAGGAGCTTGAGGTAAAAACCATGTTTCTGATGTAGCATTTTGCCTTGACTGTGTTTCCAGTGAAAATAGAATTAGCACAGAGTTCACAAATATTGAACTTGGAAGTTAAGATGCCCTAATTCATGCCTTTGTGTGTAGGTGTTGGTGAACCTAGAGGAAGGAGTGGGCCTGTCACTGGTGAATAAGCTTCCTGAAGAGCTCGTTTTTGCCACTCTGTCTGGCATTGATGTGCACTTCATCCGTACCACTGCCAGCCAGGTGCTAGAACTTACAGTGAAAGACATTCAGGTAAGCAGCCACAGACCAAAACATACTAATTTCCCACTTTGGATTAGGGAAGGGTCAAGATGACAGTTTAGTAAGATTGACTATCGAAATTTTTTGCTCATCTGCCATATTTTTTGACCATCAGCTAGGCAAATTGATGGCTGTTAATACAAAAAAACCTCAACATTTGATGTTTGATTCATACCAGGTCCCAGAAAACACTTTTATGGATCTCTGTTAGTACATTGGATCTCTATTAGTAGATTTAGTAGTCCCTACTAAAGACCATTCGTGGACATTTATGTATATATTTAATGTGCAATCCATGTCTTTATACGCTGTTCCTCGTATATGGGCACTACATACAAGGATGGATTGTGGGTGTGCTGACTTAGCAGCCTTTAATAAAGTTCTGACAGACATGTCTTTATTTTCTCATCTATTTCAGGTGGACAACCAGCTCCTGGGCACCACTCACCCTGTTATGCTGTGTGTGGCTCCAAGCTCCAGTGAAAGTTCTGCAGTGGACTCAGGCCCTGCTTTGCAGGTCAACTCTGTTAAAGTGCCCAGCAGTCTTATGCTCACAGATCTTTATAAGGTGAAACCAACTTATGGACTCACTTTGTCTCCAAAAAATGCTTCAGGCATATCTGTATATCTTCTTTTGTCTACAGGAGTTTGATTATAGATTTTACTCTCTGCCTTACAGCATCTGATGGTCACAGCCCGCCGCTATACTGTCATCATTGAGGAGAAGCTCCTAATGAAACTGCTCATATTCTTTGGCTACGGTCAGGCAGAGGGAGGTGTGTAGTGGGTATCCCTCTGATGTGCAGTATGGGGAATGCACCTTATGATTCTCTGCTAAGTACTGTACATGATTTTGTGTTTTAGAGGTGGAGAAGCTGGATGAGAACCTTTATGAGAAAACCAATGAAGGTGCAGGAACTCCAAAGCGTTATTATTTTGAGAACTTGAAGATCAGTCTTCCTCAGGTCAAGCTGAGTGTCTTCACCTCTCACAAGTTACCCCCTGACCTGAAGGTACAAGAGCCACAGTAGAATCAGCTGGAGTACTGTCAGTTCTTCACTGGATGCAGTTCTGTTGTATGAAGTTTATGAAGTGGTCTGTAGCATAATCAAATGTTGTTCTGCACAGGCTTTGAAGGGAGCCCTTGGGTTCCCACTCATTCGGTTTGAAGATGCAATCATTAACATGTACCCCTACACTCGAGTCCATCCCTATGAGACGCAGGAGATGATCATCAGTGACATCCTCAAGCACTTCAAAGAGGTCTTAAACATTCTTCTTTCTTAATTGTTATATTTACTTTTATTTTTACACTATATGTTACAGTATTAGTTCTCAATGGTTGCATCACCACTGTGTGATTTCATTAGCTCTTGGTCTTACGTCTATTTTCTTTGTTGTTGTTTTTTTGTAGGAGCTTATCAGTCAGGCAGCTCAGATCCTAGGTTCAGTGGACTTCCTGGGTAACCCCATGGGCCTCCTGAATGACGTTACTGAGGGTATGAATGAACTTATCAAGTACGGCAACGTTGGAGGGCTCATCCGCAGTGTTACACATGGTGTTTCCAACTCCGCTGCCAAGGTAGCCAAAGTTCACATTCTTACTGTCGTCTTCACCAGTCTCTGGCAATGCATGATTCTCAATTACTGAAGTATTTCACAGGGTTATTTTGCCATATTATTCCCAAATGTATGACATATGATAAAGTTCATCTGTTCAGCTGCAAAGTACCAGAGCAGTAACCACAAGACAGGGATTCACTGGGTGCAAGGCCAAGTCATAATGAGAAAAAACAAGAGAACGAATTGTCCTCTGTGATCGGGTCTGTTCAAATGTAAATTAGAAGCTGAAGTTGTTTATTTCTCAGACTTCTTATTGAATATGTTTTTGAAGAACTGTCCAAGCAGTCTGCCTGAGCAGGAACACTAGAACAAGCCACATGTTGTCATTTGATGATTTCCAGGAAAAGAATGAGAACAGCATTGAAAGGTCAGATCACCAGCAAAAGCAATCTGACCTGATTTTCATCCTAATATGCAATGGAGATGTGAAGGTTCAGCAAGTTTATTAGTTTTGCTCTCCTTGTGTAAATGGGCAGGTTTCTGCATGTTTACAGAATCAGGGAATACGAGCATTTAATTCTTTCGTCAGCATAAAAGTTGAATATCAGCCCTGGAACATTCTCATGTACGTTGTACGTTTGTGAGGCTCTTGGTGTTGAGCTTGAGCAGATGGACTCTGATTAATGAGCTTAAAAAGCTAATTTGCTCATGGCACTAGTGTATGAATGTGTATACTCATGTGGCTACAGTTGTGTGTGGTCAGACCTGAGCCTACACTTCCATGTCCTGCAGCCAGCTCTCAGCATGTCTGTCTGACAGTCCGTTGCGCCACGTCCTTCATTGGCAGCCAGCTCACTGTCAGACAGGGCTTTGTGTGCTTTTCCCTCTGTCCGCTCCCTCTGTGCTCTCATTTACTTTCCTTCCAGCCACACTGGCCAAGCTCATGCCAAAAGTACTCATAGAATGGGACAACACTAGGTCTCAATCAGCAATCTTTCACATTCACACTTGACCCTTTCTCATTTCACTTTGCTGCTTTTTTTAACTAAGGTGAGTTGGTTTAAATATGTCCTCATACTACTACAGTAATTTTAGGTGATATTTAAAAATAGACTTTGGAGCAAAATAGATTTTGAAAATAAGTTGGAGTAACAGTCCATTTCTTTGACTTCAGCTCATCTATTGCTGTAGTATCTTTTAAGGTCTTTCTAAATAACCCACTGAACTGCTGAAGAAATGCTTAGGTTTACCAAAGAAAAAAAATCCTCTCTATGTTGGCTGCTTTTTTGCCACTAACTCAATTTCAAAAGTATAAACAAATTATTACTCCCCCTGGAGAACTTCCAGCAGCTTGAATAAAAATGCTTTGCCAAAATCATCCACCAACTGTATAAGGCTCCATGTCGTGCTGCTTGGGGTGGAAAAACTTTAATGAAAAATATATAATTTGAGAGCTTTGGTTTGATCAAGTGCCTAGAAAGCTTGAGTTTATTGTATTTGCAAAGATTACCATTAGTTTTTGTAACTTATATCAGTGGCCACCCAGAATTTATTTTGGAACATGTGCAGTCCTCAAGAATTCTCTGTTGTTAGTTTTACCTTTATGGGGGCCTGGACCTTTCTTAATAGGCATTTTAGCTAAAGCACACTCTGTTGACTGCAATGTGCCTGTGCCTTTGACATTTTCCAGTGTTTTTTAAATAATGGCTATAATTTAAAAATGCATTTGAATTCATATTCAGCAATGTCTTCAGCTTCAAGCTTATTTTTCCATCACTGTTTCATGTTTCGAAGCAACTCTCTCACTGTGAACAGGATTTACCTTTTATTATCAGTTTGTAAAATTTTTCTCATCTGTCAGACTCAGTCACTTTATGATGATCACACCATGGTTTTCATTCCTTTACATCTTCTTTCTCACATGCAGACACACTGACTGAAACACATTCTTGCACACCTCTAGGGGCCCTGCTTTGAGATAGGATGGTCTAATGGCTCAAGCAGGGGTGGTGTGAGGGGCCATAAACTTGAAAGTGTTCTGATCCTCCTCTCCCTCCCGCAAGCTCATATCTGGTAAATGTATTGGTATAATTTCACAGCCAAGCTTTTTTTTTTTTTTTTTTTCAAAAAAAAAAAAAAGGAAGAAAGTGAGAGATTGAAGCGGAGGAGGAGCAGAGAATCTGAGCTGGCCTTCAGATGAACTCACCAGGGACTTTGCTTGGAGGGGTCATTCCAAGTTCATGCCTGGCTTTCGCTTGAGTTCTGCAGAATATGCCTGTGTTTATAAAGTGCTCCGGCTGCAGTAGGGAGCTCACTGGGCCTGTAACACAAACTTCCTTCCAGGAGGCACCTGCAGGGGACCTGAGGGGGGCCACACTGGGCAAAGTCAGGTCAACTGTGCCAAGAGGGGAAGGCGCCACCCCATTAGACAAATTACAGCCTGATATATTTGACAGCTGGATGAGATGGTGTGTAAAATCAATTATCTGAAAAATCGGTGTGTATCCTCATAGCTCAGCAATGGAAGTGTTTGAGAACAATGGTGGTTGCCCAGAATATGGCACCTTGCAAATAATATTTCCATTTTCAGTGACTGTAAGATATTAGAAATTAATATGTTTCATGAACTCACAGAAAAGTAGAATAGTTGATTTTCATTAATTTTGTTTGACTGTAGTCTATAGTATAAACAGTTGAAGAACTACATGAACTTTTGGAGAAAATGAAATGGGAACCACAATAAGTCATGGATGTGTCCTAAAGTAGACAGTCCACTCCTTAAGGTCACTGCAGGCAGTTCACTCCTTAGGGTCACTGTGGGGGGGGGTTCACTAACTGAAAAGGCCAGTGTCAGCAACTGTTGGCTGACATTATAAGCCCAGGACACACCAAGCCGACTTCAAAGAACTAGCGGCAACAAAAGCCAACAGTGTTGTCACCTTGAATTGGCTGCGTCTGGACCAAAAATCTGTGCTTGAACACGCACCGACTACATCCGACTGCAAACTAGCACGTGCGTTGTATCCTCATCAGCAATGGAAGTGTTTGAGAACAATGGTGGTTGCCCAGAATATGGCACCTTGCAAATAATATTTCCATTTTCAGTGACTGTAAGATATTAGAAATTAATGTTTCATGAACTCACAGAAAAGTAGAATAGTTGATTTTCATTAATTTTGTTTGACCGTAGTCTATAGTATAAACAGTTGAAGAACTACATGAACTTTTGGAGAAAATGAAATGGGAACCACAATAAGTCATGGATGTGTCCTAAAGTAGACAGTCCACTCCTTAAGGTCACTGCAGGCAGTTCACTCCTTAGGGTCACTGTGGGGGGGGGTTCACTAACTGAAAAGGCCAGTGTCAGCAACTGTTGGCTGACATTATAAGCCCAGGACACACCAAGCCGACTTCAAAGAACTAGCGGCAACAAAAGCCAACAGTGTTGTCACCTTGAATTGGCTGCGTCTGGACCAAAAATCTGTGCTTGAACACGCACCGACTACATCCGACTGCAAACTAGCACGTGCGTTCTGCGCCTGCATATAGAAATTAACTTTCTATATCAGCGTGTATCAGTAGTCTATATTAGTCATTCAAAAGGAGAAAACATAACAAGAATATACGAGATATAACTAGCCCGACAGATTTTGGCCAATGGCTGACTGTCAGCTTGGTGTGTCCTGGCATTTAAATTACAAATTCTTTATAAATGTATTTCATACCACATGTGGTTTGGACTGAATTGTTTGCTTGTTGGTACAGTAAACTTGATAATATTGCATAATTATTGTCTTGTCTTATTTTTAGATTGTGGTTTCATTATTAATTTAAGTGATAATGGTCTATCCAATATAATATGCAGGCAGTTCACTCCTTAGGGTCACTGTGGGGGGGGGTTCACTAACTGAAAAGGCCAGTGTCAGCAACTGTTGGCTGACATTATAAGCCCAGGACACACCAAGCCGACTTCAAAGAACTAGCGGCAACAAAAGCCAACAGTGTTGTCACCTTGAATTGGCTGCGTCTGGACCAAAAATCTGTGCTTGAACACGCACCGACTACATCCGACTGCAAACTAGCACGTGCGTTCTGCGCCTGCATATAGAAATTAACTTTCTATATCAGCGTGTATCAGTAGTCTATATTAGTCATTCAAAAGGAGAAAACATAACAAGAATATACGAGATATAACTAGCCCGACAGATTTTGGCCAATGGCTGACTGTCAGCTTGGTGTGTCCTGGCATTTAAATTACAAATTCTTTATAAATGTATTTCATACCACATGTGGTTTGGACTGAATTGTTTGCTTGTTGGTACAGTAAACTTGATAATATTGCATAATTATTGTCTTGTCTTATTTTTAGATTGTGGTTTCATTATTAATTTAAGTGATAATGGTCTATCCAATATAATATGAGAACTGTCTGTGCAGTTTGCAGGTACCTTATCAGATGGATTGGGCAAGACAATGGACAATCGCCATCAGACTGAACGAGAGTGCATTCGCTATCATGGAGCAACCAGCGGAGAGCACCTTGTGGCAGGGATTCATGGTCTTGCTCATGGTACATCAGAATATTTGCATTTTAAATGCTCAATATTCAGGCACTTTATTGCACCATGATTTGTCCACTCATATCAAACTAACCCAACTTGCTGTTTCACACTCAATGCTGTGTAGGCATCATTGGCGGTCTGACCAGTGTGATAACATCAACAGTGGAGGGGGTGAAGACTGAGGGGGGTGTCGGTGGATTTTTCTCTGGTCTGGGGAAGGGACTGGTCGGCACAGTGACAAAACCTGTGGCAGGAGCCCTGGATTTTGCCTCAGAAACAGCACAAACTGTCCGAGACATGGCCAGCCTAAGCAACAGGTATTTTTTTTTCTCAACTATGTATTCAGGTTATTTTTTTCTATTATGGAAGAGGATGACAGAAATATTTAGATGAATGCTTTATCCGTGGCCTTCTGCATGGCCCTTTTCCAACTACAGGGTGCCAGAGCCTGTCCCCAAGCTGGAATAGAAAACAGCATAAATTTTTTCAAAACAAAAGCAGCAAATCAGTCTGGCAAGAGTGATGAAAAACAAGACTTTGGAAACGATGCAGTAATGTCACATTGCACAGCAGCTCCAGTCACTTAATTTTCAATGACTGTCTAAAATTATTCGAATTTTGTTGGAATTTATTAATATACTTTTTTTTTTTGTTATATCTTATGAACATTGCATCACATGCATCTTGTGATTGCATTAAATTACTTAAAACTACTAACATTAGAAGTGTTAAACAAAGACCATAATGCAGCATGTTTGTAGTCATGCAGTCAGTGACATCATTGTTCTGTTGGACATCAGTGGAGTAAATCATCTAGTTGAGCAATGGCTCCAGCACAAGAACCATCACCATTTCAGTGGATAAGGGGTATCTGTGGTTCAATGTTTATAGCTCTTACTACTTTGCAGAGCCTTCGTGACCTCTCTGTTGATGTGCCCATAAATCCCACCTGTCTTTTGATGAGTTTAGCTTGTGGCAATCCAAGCTCTACACTAATGAACACCTGCTAATGATCCAAAGCACAGTCCAAAACTGTTCCGAAAAACTTGCCTACTGTTTTAAGAGCAGCCTTCAGGGTCTCACCTTCACTTCATCCTCTAAAACCAGCAGCTCTACCTGAGGTTTTATGAGGGGGCCCAAAAGCTAGTCATATTACACAGGCTGTCTGGTATGTAAAGCCATTTGTTCTTCATTTGCCTATGTATATGTGCAGCAAGGAGTGTTTGTGGTTTTACTGCTCCAACTGGAGGAGGAATGAGTTTCCGGTCCTCTCACCATTCCCCTTGAATGGAGAGAGGCCGTGTGTGTGCGGAAAAGGGACCTGCTGGTGAACTGTGCAGTGAAGAGCTGGGGGAGTTTAAGGGAGAGGCATTCGGAGCGTGCCTGCCACAGTGCGGCCAAGAGTTCAGCCAGAGTTCACACAGAAAATGTGCAGGATTCGTGGGTCTCAGCGGACACAGTCTGACCCAGCTATTACATGTTCTCAATAACACATTCTCAGGTAGCACTTCTGCACCAAATCTTCACATGTGCTCTGTTTTCAAGGATCAATTTCTATGCATCAACAACCGGCCATGGTGATTCCCAGTTGAGCTTTCTTCCCTTCCTTTCTGAAACGTTCATGATATTTCCCACATTTTGCACGTTCTCTTGCAAACACTTGTCAGTAGTGTCAAACACTTGACTGTAGTGACAATGAAGTGATGCTTGTCTCCTGCTGGTCAGGAATATGTATTATACATAACCTCTAAGATTGCAAACAGGAAATAAACAAGTAAATGAGAAGCAGACTGTAGCAAGGTCAGGAATAGTGGAAGTGTCCGCTTCTTTTTGCTCTCCTGCCCTGCTAGTGAACTCAGCCTCCCACATCAGTTCCCCGGACCCCAGATCCCCCCCCACCCCCCCCTTGCTCACACACACATACACCATTTCCCAACTGCACTATGCAATCCAGGCAGACATCCAGAGGCAGCTCAATTACAATCTCAAAACAAAGGCAAAGAAGTGCTGGGGGTTGGCCTGGGGCAGCAGTAGGGGCTCAGACTTTGACTGAATAAGCACCCTGTTCCCCACCTTTAGCTGTCATTTCAGTTTGGAAAAGCATGCATTTTCTATTACTCCAAGCTTTATTAAAGAAAGTCCCTCATGTGGTTTGCCTCTTGATGTGCATTTGGTGCATTTGATTGGCAAACGCATCAAGGAGAACCTTTCTGCCTTCACTAAAGTTTGGTAAACCTCAAATTCCTCAAATTCAAAAGATGACAGTACTTGTTCTGTGGCATTTAATTGAGACAACGGAATACAACCGTGGTTTTTCTCGCTGTTGTAAAAAAGGGATGTGCATTTCTGGTAATCTTGCTGTACCTGCTAATTCTAACTTGTTTTGGAATCAGCATACTAAATACAACTCGATTACACAGTTGACCCACCGTTGACACAGTAAACCAAAGATAAGATTAGAAAAATAAGCAATATTAGTCAGCCAAGCCTGAAACATACCAGATGAGAAAATATGATGTCTCACCACAAGTCAAGTGTGTATATTTTAGTCAGACAGATAATGTGATTGTAACTCGGCTTCGTACAGCATGTATACACTTTAATCTGATCCTGGACAGCCAATGTTCTACAGACTTTAGCTCTAACCTGCCCTAACACACTTTTCTGGAATTTCAAGTAAACTTCAAGACGTTGCTTACTGTAGGATAGTGAGCCTGCAAGAGCAGACTTTGACACCACTGCTTTAATCAGACTACAGTTGTCCTTGCCATTGTGCACTTGCTCCAATAGACAGCAGTGACATGTAATGTGTATTTAAAAAAACTCTATTGTGTATCCTTGAGCAGACAAATGAAAACTGTTACTCAACTATGCATAAACATGCTGTAGCTTGATTACAACTGATAAACCTTTCTTTGGGGTGACAAGAGATGGTGGCCTAATTTGCCTATATTCCAGCAGGCGTGCTTTTACTGGCTATGTCAGTGGAGAACCAAGTTAAACACCTACATACAGCAGCCTTCCACATCACGCCCACCCTCAACCCATTTTGCTCATGATCTTTCTCGGAAAGAAGCAAGAAGTAAGAGCTGTTTGTTTGCACCCATTGATGGCTGACTGGCTGGGCTCCAAGCCCTGTGCCTGACCTAGAGTTGAACCCTATTGTTCCAATCCCACAATCGGGTGCGGGGCATTGTGCTTGATCGCCTCCAGAGCAGTGGGAGCGGCTGGAGAGAGAGAGAGAGAGAGAGAGAGAGAAAGAGAGGTTAAGAGTCTCCGTGGGTCTGTTACAGTCCTGTCAAATACAGGGCCAGATCTCATGACTTACGGTTATGATTATGAACCGTGGCTTGCTGTCAAAAAGAGAGCCACCCCAGATCCCCCCCACCCCACCCCTTGCTCACACACACACACACACACATAACATACACCATTCCCAACTGCACTATGCAATCCAGGCAGGCTTCCAGAGGCAGCTCAATTACAATTTCAAAACAAAGGCAAAGAAGTGCTGGGGGTTGGCCTGGGGCAGCAGTAGGGGCTCAGACTTTGACTGAATAAGCACCCTGTTCCCCACCTTTAGCTGTCATTTCAGTTTGGAAAAGCATGCATTTTCTATTACTCCAAGCTTTATTAAAGAAAGTCCCTCATGTGGTTTGCCTCTTGATGTGCATTTGAATGTCACCTTTGGCAAACGCATCAAGGAGAACCTTTCTGCCTTCACTAAAGTTTGGTAAACCTCAAATTCCTCCTCTGTAAAAGATGACAGTACTTGTTCTGTGGCATTTAATTGAGACAACGGAATACAACCGTGGTTTTTCTCGCTGTTGTAAAAAAGGGATGTGCATTTCTGGTAATCTTGCTGTACCTGCTAATTCTAACTTGTTTTGGAATCAGCATACTAAATACAACTCGATTACACAGTTGACCCACCGTTGACACAGTAAACCAAAGATAAGATTAGAAAAATAAGCAATATTAGTCAGCCAAGCCTGAAACATACCAGATGAGAAAATATGATGTCTCACCACAAGTCAAGTGTGTATATTTTAGTCAGACAGATAATGTGATTGTAACTCGGCTTCGTACAGCATGTATACACTTTAATCTGATCCTGGACAGCCAATGTTCTACAGACTTTAGCTCTAACCTGCCCTAACACACTTTTCTGGAATTTCAAGTAAACTTCAAGACGTTGCTTACTGTAGGATAGTGAGCCTGCAAGAGCAGACTTTGACACCACTGCTTTAATCAGACTACAGTTGTCCTTGCCATTGTGCACTTGCTCCAATAGACAGCAGTGACATGTAATGTGTATTTAAAAAAACTCTATCGTGTATCCTTGAGCAGACAAATGAAAACTGTTACTCAACTATGCATAAACATGCTGTAGCTTGATTACAACTGATAAACCTTTCTTTGGGGTGACAAGAGATGGTGGCCTAATTTGCCTATATTCCAGCAGGCGTGCTTTTACTGGCTATGTCAGTGGAGAACCAAGTTAAACACCTACATACAGCAGCCTTCCACATCACGCCCACCCTCAACCCATTTTGCTCATGATCTTTCTCGGAAAGAAGCAAGAAGTAAGAGCTGTTTGTTTGCACCCATTGATGGCTGACTGGCTGGGCTCCAAGCCCTGTGCCTGACCTAGAGTTGAACCCTATTGTTCCAATCCCACAATCGGGTGCGGGGCATTGTGCTTGATCGCCTCCAGAGCAGTGGGAGCGGCTGGAGAGAGAGAGAGAGAGAGAGAGAGAGAAAGAGAGGTTAAGAGTCTCCGTGGGTCTGTTACAGTCCTGTCAAATACAGGGCCAGATCTCATGACTTACGGTTATGATTATGAACCGTGGCTTGCTGTCAAAAAGAGAGCCAAGTCCATGTGGAAGTTCTGGCTTTTCTAAGGAAAAAACACCACCACATTCTCCTTAATATGTCATAATGAAGTAACCAGTGGCTTCGGAATATTTAGTTGCAAATGCTAAAATTTGCCAGGGTGCTGCTGTTTTTCTTTGCATGACATCAGCAGAGTTTATAGCAAGTTCAATGAGTCACTTAGTTTTTGTTTTCAAAAGAGAGACTTGATTTGAAATGCAATAGGGCTTGCAAATGTGACCCACTTCGAGACTTCAGGTTTGTCCATCCTTGGTTATCATCTCATCCCAGCGCCTTGCATTCTGAGTTCTTGATGAACAGAGGCAGCTGCCTTCACCCGGGCTTCAGTTTAAACAGAACAGAGAAATGCAGTACACTGCCGTCTTTGTGAATCAACTGGAAACCATCAGCTCTAATCAAATGTCTGCTGGCCCAGATTCAAGCCAGATGTAGGAATTCCACTTGGCCCACCAGTGGCAGCCGAAAAGAAGAGAGGGGTTGTTTGCAGGAGAAGCAAGACCCAAGCTTTGCATTGGCACTGCAGTCTGCTGGATAGTCCCATCAGCTTTGGTCAGGGCCACCAGAACTCTGGAGCTATCATGCCCTTGACCATCGATTGAACTGCACACCTATAACCAACACCGTGTGCTTGAATGTGTAACAGAGTTGAATGTCATGATATGTTGGCAGGATATCACCTTAACATGCATAGTAGGAGTCTGAGTATGTGGGTTTCTTGGATTGTACCACAACAGGTGTTATTTCAAGAGACTCAGTTGTGCTCTTTAACGGGAAATGGGGGGAAAAGAGGAAAAAAGGTCCAGCCTTTCCAGTAAAAAGGTGCTTCATTCCAACTTGGATTCCCTAAAGTTAACCCTCTTAAGGCTGTTGGTTTTGTAAGTAATGATCCTTGTGTGTTTTGTGTGCGTGTTTCAGGCTGAGCGTGCAGCGAGTAAGGAAGCCGCGCTGCTGTAAGGGCCCTCAGGGGCTGCTGCCTCGATTCTCCTCCCTACAAGCAGATGGACAAGAACAGCTCTTTCACTTAACGGACAATATCCACTCTGAATAGTGAGTATCTTGTCTGATGCTAATGCCAGGATAAGTGGTTCTGCGAAATTCTTCTGTTCCTAAATGTAGGATTTCTAACTAACTTTGAATTTGAAGCACATTTTCTAGATCTTTTCTAGTTCAAGAATCCCAAACTTGTAGGTACATCATTTTTAGTCATTGGTTGGAAGCATCAGGGCTTGTTTCTGTGTTCAAAGTGAGACAGAAAAGACATTTATCACCAAAGAGGCTAATCCATCTAGATCAGCAGACCCCCTGTTGGCCCACATGACCTCTCTCCTCAGAGGTGCCACACAGGCCATTAGTCTTCTCAGCTGCAGCCCGCACACTTTCGTCCTTTCTTCCCTCTCACACACTGAAACCGCCTTAATATTGCCTGCTTAATTTGATGTACTAATCTTCACTTCTCTGAACGTAGTCTATGCATTAAATAGCACGCTTGACTTAATCCTTTTTCATTCATGGCAGAGTTAATCATTTTTACAGATCTGCATCAGAATCTGTGAGCGAATTTGGTCTGAATTGAATCATAGTACATCTGCTTTGCTAATATAACGATCATTCTTCTGCAGTTTCATTGCAGTGGAGCCCATAGACACATACTGTGTGCTGATCTCCTCCAAAATGGTATATTTCCTCAAGCCTGGAGAATTTGCGGATCGTGAAGCAATCTTTTTAGAGGTCAAATATGATGATCTCTATCATTGTCTGGTGTCCAAGGACCATGGGAAAGTATATGTACAGCTTACTAAGAAAGCAGAAAGCACCAGCAGTGGAGTGGCCATTCCAGGTCCATCACACCAGAAACCTATGGTAAGAGACGTGTCCCTCCACATATATATAATACTTTTGAACTATTAATGTCACTAGAATTTTTGTAATAGCAAAAAAAAATTACAAAAAAAAACATTACAAATGGTGCAATACTTATGTTTGGGGATTGAATGTCCAGCAGTGATGATATATCATTTCTGTATTATAAAAATACATAATACATGATTTTGGTGAAACACTTGTCATCGCTTTGCTAACTCCATTCCAAATGTCATTTGTTATTTCTCCATAGGTCCATGTGAATAGTGAGAGCCTTGCCATCAAGATTTCACAAGAAATCAATTACGCCAAGAGCCTTTACTATGAACAGCAGCTCATGCTGCCTCCCAGTGAGAATGAGGATAGCTTATTATTAGACTCTTAACTACACTGACCTGCAGGGTAGAAGGTGTTTCTCGCTCATTGTTCAACAGCTACTTCCTTTTTTCTGTTTCTGTGGAAGGACAGTAATAAATCAGCAGAGCGTGATCACCCACTTAAGCCAGTATACGGGACATGCTCACAGCATGTGGTTTGTTCAGTGATGCAAACTAGTCTAGAGGGGCTGCTGTAAGCTCCAGCAAGCACAGATTTAACTTGAACATATGCAAGTATTATAAGTTCCTTGCAAACCTTAGAAGTATAATTAATTTTGTTTTACAATTGGTAAAATAACTGGTGTTTGTCGCTAGATGTACACGGCTATTCTAACACTGTGTATATGTCTGTGTATAGATCCTCTATGTACATAGGCACAAACCAATAGGACTATATCTGCCATGTATATATAATGTTGAAAATAAGAATATGGTATGAAATTAATCTTGGGTTGCTGTACAAAATTGCCTTTAAAAGAAAGTTCATTTTGCTCTGAATATGTGAGTGATTGGAGGTTGATTGAATGATTGAACTGCACTGATACAAATGTAGGAAACTTAAGCTGCTCTCTCCATTCCCTGGTGAGCCAACATTAACACAAACACAACACAGAGAATGAGTGTTGTAAATACTGTCATTGCATTTTTCACTTCTCCACATGCAGTCCACCCACAAAACATCTGTCTGACGTTTTTCTTCTACCAGTTTCTTATTTTCTTGTCTTTTCTATATTCACCTTAAGGAAGGTAATGAAAAATATGAGTGAGAAATTTGACGTGTTTACCCTTTATTTCGTTTTTAAGATCTTTTACAAGTTCAAGCTTAAGATATGAAACACTTTTAACATATTTCAACATATAAAATAATGGTGTTCTGTAGCACATAAAATAATGGTTCTCTGCCTTTTTGTGCGTACAATCAAAATGAAGATTTGTCATCTGCTATTTTTACATCACAGAGACAATAATCTACTGTACTTAATTTTCCCCCATCTCAAACACTTATTTTACTCACCGTTTTAAATTGAACAATATCAAGTAATTCATTAAGTCTCACTGAATGAAACTATTCATTTTAAGTTGTTACAAGTCGCTACCAAAGATCAGACACTATTAATGTTTTCTCTTTTAGAGAATTACCGTCCTCGCTTATCTTAACTGTGTACATATACTAGTCTTTCAAAATAAAATGTAGATTTTTAACTTATGTGACAGTGCCTCTGAAAACACTGGTCAATATAATTTAGGATAATATGAACAGTACTCCTAATGTGTTTTCTAAGTTGTCTATTATTTAAATATTAATATGTTGAATACAACCCTACAAAGCTGGTTTCCTCTATAACTGCACAAATATGCAAAGTAAATGTAATGTATATTTAATTTGTTTTAATATGCAAATGTGTAAAGCAAAATAAAAGTTATGGTTTAACACAGTATTTGTAATTATTGCGTTTTTTTTCCTGATAATGATTAATTTGTAATATTTTGGTGTGCTTTTTTTTCTTATTATTGATGGGTCATTCTATGGAAATTTCCATTTTTCTATCCCTAGCCCAGGGCTGCCCAAACTCGGTCCTGGAGGGCCGGTGTCCTGCAGAGTTTAGCTCCAACTTGCCTCAACACACCTGCCTTTAAGTTTCTAGTATGCCTGGTAAGAGCTTGATTAGCTGGTTCAGGTGTGTTTAATTGGGGTTGGAGCTAAACTCTTCAGGACACCGGCCCTCCAGGACCGAGTTTGGACACCCCTGCCCTAGCCTTTACAGAAATATTACACTTTTTTAAAAAACACTTTAGGGTTACAATTTTTTTATATTTTAAAATGAAACCATGTGTTATTTGAACAATTACACCACCTTTGAGCCATCAATGTGGCAATATTTGTTTTTAACCACAAAACTGCTCGTCCCCACAGCCATGTACAGAGGGAAAGTGCTTTATTTTGAGGTCAAAAACAGGTTTTTCTTCCATTTAAAATACAATAATGTATTCATAACTATCAAATATAGAAAAACAAAATGCCAAATAAATATTATAAAATATATAATGAAAGTAGTGGTCCCCTGGAGTTGTGTCACTGGTGTTACCGTTTTAACAAAAATAATTTATTTTGAAATTCAGTTATCCTCATTTATCTCATGATTTCATATGAAGCTTTTAGTTGAAGTCACTGCATGACCTACGTTACCTACGTTAAATTGTAAAAAACTAGAATACAAATGGATTAAACTACTTAATTTAGTGAGTATACCATGATTGACAACATGTGGTTTGATACCTTGCAGCAGACATTTTGTAAAATGCATTTTTCATAAAAAATTGTCACTGGTGTTACCTTCCTTATGGGTAACACCAGTGAAGATCAGTTTATGTTTATGTTCTTTTACTGCTTTCACTAAATGCCAAATGTAACAATTTAGTCTCCTCTAATAATTATAGTTGAAGAATAAGGATCTTTGGTCTAATGTATGTCACTGGTGATTCATTGTGTCACTGGTGTTACTGTGTTTTTTTTCTATCACATTAAATAAAATGTCACATGTGGCATGATAATTTTACATCCAATAAATTCTGCTACTCAAGAGTTTAGAGATTTAAAGGATTGCATAATTACTTGTTTTTTTTCCCAAATATTTTCATTGTTATAACAAATACATGGTTGCGCAAATGAACTAACATCATACAATCACACTTTTAACAAACCTGATTAAAATAAAAAAAACAATCTCCTTATTTTTGCATTATTATTATTTTTCTGTAACTCTGACTACATGTGCTGAAAAAAATCGAGAAATAATATTTCATACAAAACTCTAAAATTGCCAAAGAAGTAAGCTAACACCAGTGACAAAAAAAAATGGTATGTGGTCTTTAAATAAATGCACAAAAAAGATTACAAGCTACAAGCTGTCATTTATGTGTATTCATAAAGTCAAAATGTAATCTAATAATGTGGTCTAAGTTTAAATGTTAAAAAAAGATATACATTTTAAGACATTTGCCATACCAAAAGTGGACATTTCTGTAGAATGACCTGATAGGCTGCCTTATAGTTCTTCTTTACATGTGCTTTATCCAGTGTTTCTGCTTTGTGTATCAGAAAATGTCAACTTTTCCCTCATAATAAATATGCTAAGAAGGATTATTTCTGCTTACCTTCTGTGAGATTGGATGAACCTCCATGTTTGTGGGCTGAAATCCTATAGTTTAACTTTTAAATCGTTTTTTAGCATCTAGACTTTACCAATGTTTGCTCAAGCCTTTTTAAATTAAAGTCTCCATTTCTGCGCTGGTTGCTAATGCTGCTTGCTAATTGGCGGTTATTTCGCGCCAAGTACAAAAACGGCGCTAAGCCGCGAACTAGTTAGTTCGCGCCGTGTTTATTATCGCGAGATGTAAGAAACGATAATTTGCTTATAATGGTACATTTTAGTTGTCAATAAAACAGTGATTTAAAGATATCAAAATGTATTTAAAATGAGATAAAATCTTTGGCATTATACACAAGTTTTCTGTAACATATGTATTCATAACTATCAAATATAGAAAAACAAAATGCCAAATAAATATTATAAAATATATAATGAAAGTAGTGGTCCCCTGGAGTTGTGTCACTGGTGTTACCGTTTTAACAAAAATAATTTATTTTGAAATAAAAATCACACTGATGACATCACTTGACTTCCTCCTATTTCCTGAGGATCTATTAAGAAAGGCCCATGTTAAGTCCACTGTCTCTTTTCAGTTATCAGAAATGTTCTCATTTATCTCATATCTCTTTCATATGAAGCTTTTAGTGGACGTCACTGGTATGACCTACTTTATTGTTAGGGTCCATTTAAAATACAATAATGTATTCATAACTATCAAATATAGAAAAACAAAATGCCAAATAAATATTATAAAATATATAATGAAAGTAGTGGTCCCCTGGAGT